CTTATCAGTCGGAACTTTTGATGATGAAAGAGTGGGCACTAGATTTTTTGGACTGTTCTCACTGGAGCCACCTAGTTTGGTTCCAGCATTTGAAATTTCTTGGAAACCTGTTTTTCCTGACCAGGAAACAGATTGACCAGAAACTAAATGTTTCACATCATTTGATTTCATCTCAGCATCAACACGCTTCTTCCAGTTCTCAACAAGACACTTAGCTTTCTTCTGAATCTCCTGATTTTTATGGCTGCGCAGATGATTAACAGATTTCCCAATGCTACAACTTTGCAATGCACTGAGATTAATAGGCAATTTAGCTAGTGCACGAAGCAGGGCCAAGAGAAGTTCGTCAATAGGCTTATCTGCTTCTTTAGGACTACTCCCATCACCAGACTTCCCTTTGTGGGCCTCTTGAAGCCAGCTGTCCAACACCGGAAGGCCCCTTGATTGCACAAATCTACTGAGGCAATCGGGACTCTCTGTAGCAGCAATAACATCAGCAAGTATAACGCGACCACCAAGGTCTATCTTCTGCTCAGTTCGATCAAGTTGCATAAGATGTACAAGCTTTTCAACTGCTTCTGCATTTGGAAGTCCACCTTTTTCTGTTATCTTTGCTATTTCGGACTTAATATCATCCAAGTTAAAGCTTCCAGGCTCACTGTCGTCAACCTTAAGTAGACGATCACGATCCCGCTTAGCTGGATCAACTCCCTGTTCACTTCTATCTCTCTTCTTTCCTTTAGATAAACCACCATTCTGCGTACCATCTAAAGCAGTCTTCAGTTGCTGGGAAGCTGATGGACCATTTAAACGCTTTGGTGAGCGTCCACCTGACTGCAATGCGGCACGCATTTCTAGCCTTGTTCTGTATAGAAGACGATTTACTTCTTCCTGCCGTTCCTGGTTATCAATTTCATATGTGAATAAGTATATATAGATATATAAATATATAATGGACAAAACAAGAAAGAAATGGTGAACTTACATTAATATAGTCCTGGTCAGTAAGCCACCATAAGCACTTGTTGTCAATATCGTACACGCGCCAACATACAAATGAAGAAATTCCAGCTGGTAGTTCAACACCTTTACGTAAAAAGGCAACTTTGCAAGGATGCAGCAGAGAAACAGCAGATGCTTCGTCCTGGTGGAAAGAGTAGAAGATCTCGTTTGGTGCAGCGTTGAGTTGTATACCCTTGTTAAGCTTCACGTCGGTGGGTCTATAAAGCCAACTAACACGTAACTTGGGATAGCCTTCTTCTTTTTTCTCAAACCAACGTACCAATCCAATGAATGGAGGAGCATCAACAGCCCGAAAAAGAGCACAATCGCCAACTCTAATCTCACGCCCGTCCTGAAAATTAAACAGCTTGTTACAAGTCATCCAATGACCAGCATGTTGCTCCATTCTCTTGTTAGTTTGGTATACAAGTTCAACAATTACAACCTCACAGTGCTCATTATGTTAGCAATCAAACAAGCAATGGACAAACGATGGTAAACTGTTATTGAAATGAACACCGCCACAAGCAAGGTCTGCCTTGCATCATTTGCGGAAGGTAAGAATACGGCTGCAATACGAAACTAAGTAATTTGTCAACCCTTGCACGCTTATTCACGGGATGGCACTTTCCCACGTCATTTGTGAAAAAAATTAAATAGTAGGAGATCCTTTCATATGGTGTGACGAAATTGCCAATTTGACAGTGAGCCGTTCACAGAATTCGATACAATGATGCAAAAGGAATTTCATGCCAATATTTCCATATTAGCATGCTTGCAGTCGGTAGTAGTACATCCAAACTCTAAACAGTTTACACAACCCAAAACCTCGAGGCGTCCACCACCTGAGGAATCTAGTTATAGTGCAGATGCTTCATATAGCAGGTATTGTCCAAGTCCAAACTGCGAAAAAAGGGTTAGCAACCTCAGTCTATCCAAACCCATCAAGTTTAGCAAGCAAGCGATACCCAACAAAAACGCACCTTTACAAAGCAATCGGGTGACACTGGGCAGGGGAGATCGATGCACTCCTGCTTCTGCGCCGCCGATTCCGGCGGATAAGAAGTCGTCCGAGAAGGGGGAACAGATGAACTAGTAGAAGGAGAAGTAGCTGGTCCTTGTGCCGGTGGTGGTGGAGCTTCTGCCTCTACGCGTGCCGCTGGCCACATGAGCCGAACGAGACGCCGCCTCCTGACGTCGCACCCCTCAGCGCCGCGCCACCCATGCATATCCGGCTCGCTGCATCTTCTCCAACGTCGCCGCCGAACCCTCCTCCTCGCCGAGCTCCGGCACCGCGCCGCACCACCATCACCAGATAGCCGGCAGCAACCCTAGGCCCTCCGAAACCCTAGATCCGCAAGCCTCCGCTCCGCGCGCATCCGGAACACCCGAATTCGAGTCCAATCGGCCGATTCAGGCGAACCGCCTCACCGGCGGGAGCTCGAATCCGGCGGAATCGACGGACCCCGGTCGGGCTCGATTGGGGATTTCGGGGCTGGGTCAGCGGAGCGGGATGGGCGCGGTGGCTTGGACTCGATCTGAGGTGGGGCGGGGCAGGAGAGAGAAAAATTCAGCGATTCGGGGGGAGGGAGAGAGATCGCGGCTGGGGGCAGGACAGCCGGACAGAGGCAGGGCACAGCAGGGACGGCGAGCGAGGTCGGGTCGAGAGATGGGGGGAGAGAGAGAGAGAGAGAGAAGGGATGATGTCTCGTCTCGTCCTTGCAGGGAGGCAGGAGAGGAAAGCAGGAGGGGCAAATTCGACCATGCACAGTGACCGCAGCCTAACATGTGAAGTCAGGCCGCGTTTAGTTGCCGCTGAATCGGCGCCGCTGAAATAATCGTCCAATCGTTGACTAATTACACTTAAAACGTTCGTCTCGTAAAGTACAATTAAATTGTGTAATTAGTTTTTGATTTCATCAACATTTAGTACTCCATACATGTACCTACAAGTTTGATGTGACAAAAAATCTTCTTTTTATATAGTACTAAAATTTGTATTTTGGATAACTAAACAAGGCATTTACATCACACGATGTGAAAGTCAAGGCATATCAAACACGGCTTGTGATATGACACAGTTGGATTTTTTATTATGTTTTTAGATCCTTTATTATTTCGGTATTTTACCATAATAGGCTCCCTCGGTTCTTAAAATAAATGCACGTCTCACTCTATGAAAAATCAAACTTTTCAATCTTTAATAAAAATATAGAAAGTAATAGTATCTCCAAATAAGTACATTATAAAAGTATATTCCATGCTTTATCTAATGATATTTATTATACATCATAAATATTGATACATTTTTATGTATATTTATTTAAATTTTTAAAAGTTTGACTTTTCGGGAAATGAGATGTGTATTTATTTTGATAAGGATAGAATATTTCGTTATGTGATGTTTTTTTAAGGAAAATAGGGGTCCTTGGTTGTAATGGTTACTCAGAAAATAAAACAAGAATCATGTGCAGTTAGTTATGTGACATAACTCTATGATATTATCTCTATTCAAGAATTTTCAACTATGAATGGACGAGATACGAACATTTTGTCCAAGAATGGAGCATAACTAACTGCACATGATTCTTGTTATTAAAAACCGAAACACAAACATTCCTTTTGTTTATTAAAAACTTGACAATATTAGCTCCATTCTTGGACAAAATGTTCGTATCTCGTTTTCTCAATTGCTACCCATCTACTAGCTCATTATTACATCCACAATGATGGCCCTGTTCGCGTGCCCTTAAACCCAGCTTGATCCGCTTCTTTTTTCATCCGGAACAGTGTTTTTCTCTCACAAATTCCTTCAGAATTCTTTCAAACCATCTAAATTCCTCCAGAATTCCTCTAGCCAAACACCCCTGATATTGGTGTTCGTATTATACAAAAAAAAAGTGTTATGGTCTATTCGGTTTTCAACATCCGGCAGCTTAGTATCTCGAATGCTGCTAATATAGATAGGGTGTGTGTTTACATAGATCATATATATTTTTTTTGAGGAAAACATATATCATAGATGAGTGTATAGTGTATACATTATACGCGCGATATGATGATGTACGTTTGTGTTTCGGCAAAAAGAAAGAAAGAAAGAAGGAAGGAAGTTTTAGAGGATAACACGTGATGGCCCGTCGTTAGTGATGAAGTCGGCCCAACAAAAGGATACAAGTTCTGGCCCATCAGCCTATTCGTTTGGCTGTGGCTTATCGTAAACGATCGTAAATTTTCAGTCAAAACAGTATTTCTCTCTCACACAAACCAGTCAACAATATTTTTTTATGAACCAACAACGAAACGAACCAGCCAACCGAACACGGTGCATAGCCGATGAAGTCCAGAGACGGAATCACCCGTTCTCTCCTAACCACCCGTTGCAGAATGCAGACACTGTTGGGTGAGCCCCACGTTTATTTATTAAATTATTAATTAATTCTCAGTTATTTATTATAAAGGTTTCCCCACTCTTTTTTAGTGACAGGGAGCGAGGCAGCGCGGCAGCAGCTGCGCGGCGCGGCGCGCTACTACCCACAATGGCGCTCACCTCCGCCACCACCGCCGCCACGGTCTCCTCTCCCTCCTGACTCATCCACCGCTTCTCTTCTTCTCCAGACTCTCGCCCCCCTTCCTCGCTCCTCCCCCTCGCCCCGCGCCGAGGAGCCGGGAATTCCCCGCGCGCCTGTAGCTGGCACCGGCTCGTGGTGGTGCGCCGGATGGTCAGGGCGCGAGCGCTCCTCGGCGGATTCTCGGACGCCGGCGCCAGTGAGAGCGACGACGAGGAGGAGGACCACGCCCTGCGAGGGGGGCAGCGGGAGGGCGAGGTCGACGACGCCGTGGAGTCTTCCCAGAGAGATGGGACGTGCTGGGCCTCGGGCAGGCGATGGTGTGTGCAACCCTTGTCTTCTCCCCCTTTCCCCCTCCGCGAGTCCTGTAAAATTGTTTTCAGTTATTGGATCGATTGCGGAATAAGCGATAGCCAGAGTCGATTCCTTGCGATGTTGCTCTCCAGTTGCAAGATGCAGCTGGCTGCACGCCCGCACCCAAAGAAACTGAATGCTGACGCAGTAGTACCTAGTACTACCTTCTAGTCCCGGCAAAAATGCAATTACAATTCTGTCCTTAGTTAATTATCTAATGTTTGACCAAATTTATAGAAAAAAAATATTTATGACATCAAATAGATATAATACGGAAATATTTTCAATGAAGAATGGAGAATCTAATGGTACTTATTGCTATCATAAGTATTGATATTTTTTTATATAAAACTTGAACAAACTCGAGATGCTTTGACTCCATATTAGGCTAGAATTATAATTAGATGCCCTAAATAAACTGTTGAGTTTATTACTGTACTTGCCTCTCAATTATATAACAGGAACATGCTTGATGACAGTAGGGACTTGTGCAACATTATAACATGACTAATGATAGTGGTTCTTGATCTGTGCTTTATCTGCCAAATATCTAAGATACAACTTGTGAACTGTAGTTCGAACTTGTGCCTGTATGGATGTGTTGTTGAGATCAATGCTGACTTGTGACTGTTTTGTGGGCAAATAGGTTGACTTCTCAGGGATGGTGGATGACGAGTTCCTTGAGAGATTGAGCATAGAGAAGGGCACGAGAAAGGTCATAAACCATGAGGAGAGGGGACAGGTCTTGCGTGCCATGGATGGGTGCAGCTACAAGGCTGCAGCTGGAGGCTCCCTGTCCAATTCGCTTGTGGCGCTGGCAAGGCTTGGTAGTAGCCAGTCTGCTGGCTACCCTGAGCTTAAAATTGCGATGGCCGGCAGTGTGGGCAGTGACCCACTAGGTAGTTTCTACAGGTAATTCACTAATTTGTCACTATTTCTGTTGCAGGTTTGCAGCTGATCCTGATATCCTATTTCTGCACAAGCCTTTAGAGTATTGGCTGATATCATGCATTTTGTTCAATCACGCTTTTAGGGCAAGTTGCGCCGTGCTAATGTGCACTTCTTGTCTAAGCCGGTCAATGATGGAACAACTGGAACCGTTATTGTTCTAACAACGCCGGACGCATAGCGAACTATGCTTGCGTGTCAGGTCAGTTCCTTTACTTCCTTTGCTGACAACTCTTCTATATCTGAACTTGTTAGATATTATTCCAGTTACATTTGCTTGCTATGCCTTCTCAGCCCTCTTTACACTCTTTAGACACCTCAGGATACCAACCTGTGTCTGGACATTAAGCAGTTCACTATCTGGCCTCTTAAGAGTCTATATCATATCTAAACCATATGAATATCAATGTGGCGGGGTTCGAGTGTATGTTCGAGGAGGCTTGCTAGTCTCGTTGGCACCTGCCCAATTGGTTGCACAACTTTCTTGTAATGTAATTTAAGTTAGGTTTATTTGGGTCGTGTTGGCTTCCATCCTTCCACGGTAATCTATGGATTACTTGGGGATGTTGTAACCAGTCAAACTCTGCTTCTGCTTAATGAAATACGTGTCGTAAGTACACGCTCGCGAAAAAAAGTGAAATTTCCAGGTTTTTTTGGTCATGGTATTGTTTGTAGTAGTGTATGAATATAGAAGCAAGAACTATCATGAGATCTTAATGATACATCCTTGATTCATGACCCTGTATTTTGAACAAGTATAATTCATTGGCCAATCATCTAGAATTGTGATGCACCTGCAACCAATATATGCTCTAATGGTGGTATGCACTTTCTGTCTTTGCAGGGTACTTTGTCAACTCTGGGTTACGATTCAGACTTGGCCAGTTTAGTGTCTAAATCAAATGTACTAATTGTGGAAGGTTATCTATTTGAGCTGCCTCACACAATTGAAGCTATGAAGCAAGCGTGTGAAGATGCTCACAAGAATGGTGCCCTGTTCGCTTGGCTGATAAGTCATGGCTGAAAGTACTGTTGGCTGATTTGTTGTGAGAGAAAAATATTGTTCATTGGCTAAAAAAGTACGGCTTATAAGCCAAGCGAACAAGGCGTTGTTGTTACTGCATCAGATGTATCTTGCATCAAGCGTTGCTACAATGACTTTCGGTGAGCCTAGCCTTCTTTCAAAGGATTTCCTGTCAGATTCACAGCTTGGGACCATCTGGGCCCAGCTACACACATTCCCAGACCTAAATGACCAATCTTTTACTTGCTTCCATTGATAGTGCATATTGACTCTAAAAAGAGGAGGGCTAAGCATCTAAAGTCTATTTTGTGTGCTACACAAAGGCCACCTTATTCTATATCTGGTTTTATCACTGAAACTAGCAAAAGAATCTTAGGGCATAATTGTTCATCAATTAGTACCATTAAAGTGTTTTTTATGTTTCCAGAACCAATCATTTTTTAGTTAACGCAGCTGTATTGTGGCCTCATCTTATGACACTAATGACCACGGACCAAACATTTTCAGGGATATTGTAGGAAACTATGCAGATATGCTGTTTGCCAACGCCAATGGAGCAAGGGCCTTCTGCGAGCTACCCTCAACAGACAGCCCCATGTCAGCCACAAGATACTTAAGCCACTCCGTTCCCCTAGTATCTGTGACTGACGGCATGCATGGCTCCTACATTGGGGTGAAAGGTGAAGCAATATACATCCCTCCACCATCCTGCATACCAGTGGACACTTGTGGCGCTGGCGACGCATACGCTTCTGGTATTCTGTATGGCATCCTCCGGGGTGCTTCCGACCTGAAAGGCATAGGACTACTGGCCTCGCGGGTAGCTGCTGTCGTCATCGGGCAGCAAGGCACACGCCTGCGGGTTCAGGACGCCGACGGACTGGCTGAATCGTTTGCGCATCACCTGGATAGCTTGGAGTTCTGCTCAGATGTTTGAATAGATCACTTTGCAAACACGTCTGATTGTATCTGGTTTAGTCCAAGCCCTAGAAATCTATATATGTACATACATCTGTTACCTTCTTAGTAGGTCTAGTACATTTGTTCAGGGCATTCAGCCGAGCTGGATAAAGCTTGTTCGCCCATTTGATGTCTCTTTCCATCCTTAATTATTGCCATAATTGGAAGTACATATATTTCGTTGGGCATGGAAAATACAGTGGTATAGCTCATGTTTCCTGTTCTCATTGGGAATGGATGAATGATGCCATGTTGGCCTTTATGTGAAGGAAGCAAAAGCAACTTTGCGGCCCACTGAAACCGCAGCGAGGGCCTGTTTGGATCAAAGGATTTACAAAGGAATTTTGGAGGAATAAATTCCAAAGGAAAGGAATCGCTTCATAGTGTTTGGAATGAAGGAATGTTGAATTCCAAAGGAAAGGAATCCATAGTAGTGCAAAACAAAGGAAATAAAACATCCGCTCTAACCTAATGAAAATAATCTTTACTGTTCATCTCTAGCTATGCTTGCTCATGTTCCCGTAGTTTTTTTCCTCCATTCCAAACAGCTCAAAGTATTCATTCCTGTGTTTTGAAATCCTATAGTCTTCTACTATTCACTCCATCTTATTCCTACGTTTTTTTTCTATTTCTCTGTTTTGTATTCCTTCGTAAGACTAAAATTTGTTGTAATGCAATCCGGCTTTGTTAGATTGTATTCGATCTGGTTGGGTCAAACATCACTATCACACGGGAAATGTTGCTGTATAATAATAAGCCTGTTTAGTTGGCTGGTTCGTTTATGTGAGAGAGAAGTACTGCTGGCTGGTTCGTGTAAATAGCGCCCATGTGAGGGGGTTGGCTAGCCAGCCAGCCCCAGCCGAACAAGGCGAATATCTTTGGCACTGATTGGTTCACCTAAAGCAGCAAATCATGTTGACATTCCGTGGCTGTCTTAGTTGATGAACTTTGTTTCTATCAAGCCTTTCATTCATAATATACTGAGTACTATATATTTAAAAAAATTGAGATGCTGCTTGCAACATACGCACTCTTTGACACTGAAGAGTCAGGGTGGAGAGTAAAGAATCAAGAGAGCTAGCAGGCTACGCAACATGTTACGATCAACAATTATCCTGGAGGAAAAACGAAAAGTTAGACGTACTGCCAGAATCGTTGACGTGCCTTTGGCGATGAATCGGAATCAGATCAGATGCTGTTGTCTACTATCTCAAAATAGAAGTCATTTTTTTTCCACGAAAGAAACCATGCCAGCCTTTTTGTTTACCATGTGAACCAAGATTGTTAGAGTGCTGATTTATTTTTGTACGGGATCGTGACGTCTAAGAGGGAGTTGAATTAGACAACTTAGGCCCCGTTCGGTTTACTCCATATTTAGCTTGTTCGACTTTTTTTTCTTAGCCGGAACAATATTTTTCTCTCACAACATTTTCAGCCAGAACAGTGTTTTTTCAGCCAGTTTCAGCTAAGATTCAGTAAGCCGAATGGGGCCTTAAAATTTTGACTCTAAACAATGGCCTCTAACTCCATCTAGTTAAAACCTATGCAAAAGATAAACTATCTAAACGTGCAACTACGATTTTGCTAGGTGTGTTGCTATCTCTACCGCAAAAGGAAGTAATACAAACAATGTAAATGCGGAAGCTAAAGAGCAAAGTAGAGATATGCAAACTCTCGTCGACGACTCCGGTATTTTTATCGAGGTATCGAGAAGCGCGCAAGTTTTCTCCTAGTCCTCGTTGGAGCCCCTCGCAAGGGCTAAGCGTCCGGTCGGGTAACTCCGTGGATAGCCTCAGGCCTTCCCCACGCGCAAGTGGGTCTCCGACGTGCCTTTCAACAAGCCTCTCCCGGATGCTCCCCGCCGTCTTCACTATCAAGCTTTCGGCCGAAACTCCGCGGGCCTTCTTCCCTCCGGTACACGGTGGCGGCCACATCACAAACGCGGTTGGTGTAATATCGCAAGACTACAAGCCATCCAATGTACAACAATGGTGTGAGCAAGCACCGAGTGGTAAGAGGTATGTAAACCTCACTAAACACTAGGCCTAAACCTAGAGCAAGCGCATAAGCGGTGGTCTAATCAACCTAAGCACTTCGCAAAGCACTTACGCTAATCACCTAATAAATCACTAAGCACTATACATGTGGAGATCACTAAAATGGTGTATGAACACCTTTGGTATGTTTCCTTAGCTCCACTCATGTCAAATACCCGGTTGGAGGGTCTATTTATAAGCCCCACCGAGAAAGTAGCCGTTGGGGACGAAACCGCTTTTCTGCTACTGACCGGACGCGTCCGGTCGTCCCGTCCGTTAGAGCGCGCGATCAACTAATCGGACGCTGATGGCGTCCGGTCGCAATTTCGCCGCTCTAGAACATCTCTGTACTCGATCGGACGCTGCAGTCCTGCGTCCGGTCGATTTGCTGCCAACGTCTGGTCAATGCTGAGCTGTTGTCGCGATAGTGAATAGTGTCATCGTCGTGTCCGGTCACTTTGAGTCCTTAGCGTCCGGTCGCTGTTGCAGACGCCTTCTGTTGCCGAGCAACTGATCGGACGCGTCCGGTCACCCATAGGGTAGCGTCCGGTCACCTCTGGAAGCTTGTTTCTTCACGATCTTACGTCCAGCTTGATTCATATCTTCGTGATTGGACTTGGCTTGATATCTTGGGTCTTCTCTTGTGCTTCTAGGGTCTTGCTTATGGTATTGATCATGGATCACCATGTCGTCTTCGTCCAAGTCACGTCTTGCACCCTATTAAACTACGAAATAATCACTTGCAAATTCATTAGTTCAATTTAATTGTATTGATTATCAAACACTAAAATTCAAAGTAAATGGACCTAACCCTTGAAATTTCAAATGTAAGAACAATGAGGTGATTGTGCTATCCTCGGATTGAAAGTTTATAACTCCAAAGTTTCAGTAAAAGCAGCTACGATGAATTTATCCCGACGATGAAGCTGATACGGTGCAAAGGCTTTTGACGATGAGTTGCCGAGTCAGCCTATTCGTTTGGCTGTGGCTTCTCGTAAACAATCGTAAATTTCTAGCCAGAACAGTATTTTTCTCTCACACAAATTAGCCAGCGGTACTTCTTCACAAATCAGCGACGAAACGAATCAGCCAACCGAAGAGGCTCGGAGACCAACCCTGCAGAGGGCAAAACCGTCCATTGAAAAGGACAACTCCGCAGAGGCAAAAGCCCCACGCCGAGGGATATTGGGAGAAGAAACAGACGCATCGCTCGCTTCCTTGTCCCTCCAACCTCCTCTCCCCCCATCGCCCGACTCCCGAGGCGGTCGCCGCCCTCGCCCGCGTGGGAGACGACGCAGCACCCCCGCGTAGGATCCCCCGGCGATCGGCAGGATGGTGGTGGCCACGGAGGAAATGGCGGTCTACTGCTTTGACACCCTCGTCGCCCACTACACCGGCGAGCAGCCGCATCCTCCCGCCTTCGAGGATGGAAACCAGTAAGCCTCCCCCCGCAGCGATCGAACCCGGGCCGCGTTATCCCCATCCCGAGGAGGTGGTTTTGCAGCGATTTCGATATGGGGTTCGGCCAATTCGTGTTAGGTTTGGGCAAAAGGCGGCGCGCCTTGGTAGATTTGGTTTCGGCTCGGCTCCTGTTGGAACTGATTCGCTATCCGATTTGATTGACTACTTGTTGGTCCTGGCGATTGCGGTATCTGATCATATCGCGTGCCCTTAGTTTCCGTTGCAAGGCAGAGGCGAAGCAAAGTAGCCACACTTCAATGGCCACGTACCTCGCCTTTCGGTAGATTGCAAGCTTCCTGCCTCTTGCGATTGACTGACGGAGAGTAGGGGGAGGACAAGGAATCTCACTGCTGCACAGCTGAGATTATAATTTAAGTAGGACAGCCAGTTTAATCATAAGGCATTCATATTACTTGTGGAGTTGGGAGCTTAAACACGATGAGTTTGCGCATTCTGAATATGACGCACTGATGTTTCTTATTCGTGCTCCAGGATTCAGATTGTTAATTGAGTTCCTTTGCAACCTTGTAGTGCACATTAAGCTGTATGGCTTTTAATATCTGTCTTATAAGACATTCTTGTTCAGCATACATGTTTGAACTCATTGGGTCAATTTTTTTTTTGTAACTTCAGCCCATTGTTTGTGACCTGGAAGAAGGTTGCCAATGGTTCAGAACCACGCCTCCGGGGATGCATAGGAACCCTGGAGCCCCGTCAGATTGTCAGTGGCTTTAAGGACTACGCCCTAACTAGGTGACTATTGTTTCAGTATTGAAATTCTGATTTAATGCTGAAATCTCTGCTCGGCACTCAAAACATTGATGGACTTATGCTGTAATAAGTAGAAAAGCAATTGTGCACTTCGTATTGGATAATGTTTAGATATACGGTAAGCTTGATATCCTCTTGCAGTGCCCTGAGGGACCGACGCTTTCCCCCAATACAATCAAAGGAACTCCCAACCTTAGAGTGCACAGTATCTATACTCACGGATTATGAAATTGCAGAGGACTACCTTGATTGGGAGGTATACTTGCACGCACTTTAAATCTACATGTTCAGATGCTCTTCTCACTCACCTGTTATGTTTATTGTTTCAGCAGTTTTTACATCAAAGCCTTTCTTTCTTGTGAATTAGGTTGGAAAGCATGGTTTAATTATTGACTTTACAGATCCAGACTACAACATAAGACGCAGTGCAACCTATTTGCCTGAAGTTGCGGGCCATGAAGGTGAACATTTTCTTTTTCATCTATCTGATGCACGCTTTTTCATTTTTACAGAGTTCTTTGCCAAAGGGCGCCTAGCTCAAACGGTTAGGTGACCCAGTGGCACTCCTTCGGTCCTGGGTTTGACTCCCCGTGGGAGCAGATTTCAGGCTGAGGTTAAAAAAATCCCCTCGCCCGTCCCCCTGTGCCAAAGCGCAATGGAAGGCTCCGGCTCGGTTCTCACAGGGTTACGGCACCTCCTGCGTCAGGATGGGGGTGGGGGTTTTCTCGATCTGTGTGAGAAGATCCTTATTCTTAACGGAAAACCCGGGGGCCGTCATAACCCCCCGCAGGTCGAGTTTTTTACAGAGTTCTTTAGTTTCTAGAATTTTTACAAGGGATAATAAGTAGAAATCAGTTAAGCAAATATGTAATTTCATCATTTTTCAAGTCCTCATGGACCAGATACATTATAATTAGCAATAACGGTAAAATAAAGAGTCAACTGATCAGCACATTCAACATCTGTATTGAATAATTTGTAACTTAGGCTTCATCTTTGGCAGGATGGACTCATGCAGAAACTATTGATTCACTCATGAGGAAGTCAGGTTACCAAGGTACCATCACTGAGTCCTTGAGGAAGAAAATCAAAGTCACCCGCTACCAGAGCACCCTGTACACCATGCACTATGGTGAATATGTTGCATACCTCAAGAAGAATAGAGGTGCAGCCCCGTCAATTAGTGGGGTGCCTGCAGTTAATGGCTTCAAGCCAGGCCATTGATTTATCAGTATCGAAAAAAGCTCAAATAACATATTATTACAATTTATCTGGGAGCAATTTGGGGTGTGTAAGTGTAACCACCCCCTCACAGTTCATTGATCTAGCATCATTTCTTTCCAAGGAAAAGGCTAAATAGGGGCGTCATGACAAGCACCCAGAATAATGTCTTCCTGGGATGGATAATGCTTATGTATCTTGAATGAAAACACATGTGCTTCAATAAGTTCAAATTATGTGGTGGAATTAATTGATTCGAGATGGCCATTCTTAGTTCCAGTGATTTGTCTCTATTCTTAATTTTTTATCTGATATATTGCATCTATACCAAAGAATATAATTGAGAATAAAATACGGTTGCAACTTACAGTCTTGGTCATTTATTCCTGTGTGTAGCATGGCAATGCCCTCATGTTCCTTCCCAATTCAAACAATTGGAAGCAGGCACCTCGCACAAGGAACAGTAGCACTGCATCATGCAGGGCAATTGTTTGTTCGCATGAATGTCATAGATGCCCGCCAAGACCAAAGACATGAACGAAGAGATGCACCGAATGACTGTTGAAATTACCTTGCTGCAATGGTTCTTGTGACGTGTCGTATCGAAGGGAAAATTACCACACAAGTGTCTTGGGTGAGGGAAGTCTCTCAGTGCACCCACCTATTTAATCCAGGCAGATGTTAGAGATTTATGTATGCCGTATGTATACATGTATGTATTCAGCCACAATCATCGAAAGATGAGACTATTCAATTCACAAGAAACTAAATGGTCTCTTTTTTTTTTGAGGAAACCTAAATGGTCTCTTTCATCGGATATTAATTCGAAGAACATAAGATACTTTTAGATAAAACATTAAAAAATCACATTGGGAGCATGCTTAGTTCTGAATACACAGTAGTTCTGATCTGGTAGAGTTTTGCAAGCCATCAGGGACAGGGGCCGACGATCTCAGACTACAACGACGTCCTCGTCATCGTCCTCGTCAAATATCCGCTTCTCATGGGCCACCTCAAGGCAGTGGTCATATGAATCTTCTTCGGCAGCTTCCACGCCATTGCCACCAACAGGTTCGCACTTCACTGCAGGCACCAGCACGCCCGGAATTACGTTGGCAGCGTTGCAGCTGCGCTCATTTTTGTCGCAGCCACCAGAAGGCTTCCCAATCACAAACATGTCCTCAACTTTAACCTTAAGGAGTCTCGTCTCATCTTCTTCGATCTTACATGGGTTGTCCACGCAATCACCAGCAGCAGCTTGTTGCCCTCTACCACCAGAGCCAAGGTTGCATGAGCTCTCGCCCTCAGTATCAGTGTCATAGCCATCATATGCTTTTGGCGAGTCCTCCGATTGATCTGCTTCCACTTTAACGATCTACAGATCATGACAGGAAAGATATTGTGGTAGTTTGTTTATGGGTTATTAATAGAAAAGGAAAGGAGCAAAGGATTTGATAGGACTAACCTTTCCTTTTGATGCGATGAGAATCACATCATCATCTTCCTTCAGGCTCACTTTCTTAGCGAATTCCTCAAGACTTATCTCGCAGCAATCATCGTCGGGGCCTGCATCATGTTGTTCTTCGACCCCCACGATCTTCACCATTTTTTTTCCCTGGCAGGCCCTTTCTCTCCACCACTAGTGGATGGAAAATCACCACAGAGCATGCCCGTTTATATAAGCAGACGGCAGCACAAAACCCATTTATTTCTCTCTCCACTGTAAAACTTGTTGCAGAATTCGAAATGGCATACAAGGTAAGTTAGGTAACGAGGAGCCTCACGTGAGAATCGAAGGGGCACACGGATTTTCATAAATGCAAGCCATTTAATACGATTATTAGTGGCCTTGCAAAATCTAAACTTGCAGGTCCCAATGGGTAAACGAATTTGGAATTGGAGAGGACCATTAAGGGGTCTTTGGTCACGTGGGCTAGCCTAGCCTGGCTAAAATTTTAAGCCAGGCTGTCTTGAGCAATGCAACAACAAAAAAAAAAAGTTGTTGTTTGGTTGCATTGGCTAGCCCAGCCTATATTAGAATTATTTTTGTTTGGTTGCCTGGGTTAGCACTTGCACACGCGCACTTCCCCTTCGCCGGCACACGTGCACTTTCCCTTCCCCTTCGCCTGCGTCCGTCGTGCTCGTAGATGGATGGCCACCTCCACCTCCACCTCCGCCGACGCGCCTCTTGTCTCTGCCGCGTTCGTGCCCACCTGGATCTTCGCTGGAGCTCAGGGAGATGCTACCTCTCCACCGCGCCCGTGGCCACCTGCCCGTCCACTTGCACCCGTCCGCCCCTTGCCCTCCGCCGTGCCCGCACCGGATCTTGGCCGCATCCCTTCTGCTCCACCGCGCCCGCACGGGATCTGGGCTGCGTCCGTGCCCCTACACCGCGGCGAAGGACGCGGATCTTGGCCGGAGCCGCAGCGGGTGGTGGCCGGAGCCAAGGGAGATGGACGACGACGGAGATGGCCGGAGCTGACGGAGATGGCTGGAGCTCCCTCGCTCGCTGCCTTCTCTCCCCTTCCAGTTCTTGCCGGCAGCGGTCTCACCGACGGGTGGGCCACCTGCTTGTACAAGCCTGTCTTAGCTGAAACGCAGTGCAGCCTTGGCCACCCTTTTTGGCTTCCACAAGCCTGGCTTAGGGCCTACCCAGGCATCAAACAGACTTAGCATTAATCCAAACAGACTTAGCATTATGGAAGCCTGGCTAGGCCCTAAGCCAGGCAACCAATTAACCAAACACACCCTAAGGTTTCAGAGACCACGAGACGCATACATGTGCTGGAATTAAGTGGAACACAAGAGTACAAGACTGATACTAGTACTCCATAGAAGGTTATATTATATAGGAGCATGCACCAAATCTTGGGATGAGATCTATCACCAGCACTAACCATATTTACGAGTTACTCCAAAATAACCTTCCCATCAGAACAAGCTGAGACTGCAAAATGCAGTTTGCCCGATCTAGCATCGGGGACAAAATCAACTAGGCTTTGCTTTCTCTGACTTTTGCATCAAGAACCTCATAGAGTTCCACTTTTTGTCCCTGTCCGAAGCGTGGCAGTGCCCTCCATGCCCCTTCCAGGACACACATGGGGCAGCAATGTCACAAACATAGCAGAAACACTGCAAACAAGATGAACACAGTTCAGCAGCCAAATCTGATAGGTAATATCGGCAATGCAACTCTAACATTCACCCTGTTCGCTTGTTGGTTTCAGCCAGGCTTATTCAACCAGCCAACAGTGTTTTCCTCTCACAAAAAACCAGCACCAGCCAGACCAAACAAGCACCAGCACCAACCATCGAACAGGGCGATTGTACAGATTCAAATAGTAATCAATAACCTTATTGCGCTTTTGAGTTCTGGAAGTAGTATATTATTTTCTTTCCTTTTTCTTTTAAATACATGGAAACACAGCCAATTTTCTTTGCCAAAATAGTGCATCAAGTTGAAGTGTTAACAAAACACTAATTCACCTATATTTTCATTCATATAGCTAACCAAAATAAACAAGATCATACTGAGCTAAGGCAACATGGTAATCGAGCCCATTCAAGCATGCCACTCCAAGAACCAAAATTCTAGAAGACAATACTGGCATGGCAACCAACAGGTATGAGCTATAGTGCTACACATTGCAACTTAGGAAGTAATTTACTGATCACCATATTACCGAATAGCTGGTTATGATATGATATTTACAAAAGCTTCCATTTCATTCCTTCAGCTTAAATGAATCTCATTAATTCATCTAGGAAAAAACTGGGCTGAAATGTCAGAACACGGTGCTTGCTACTGTTAACATGATCCATTTACGTTGTGACAGGCAAGGATTTGCAAATGGCTTTGTTTTTATACTCAAACTTAAAATGAACAATTCAATCATGCACAGTTGCTATGCTGTCAGAAGTTTCTGATAAGTTTGAGCATAATACTGTAATAATAATGAGACCCTTCATGACCTCGTCGTTATTCCACAATTCGAAGCCCAGCAGTGTCCACCAGGCCTACCAAGGCACACATGGGACACCGATGTTGCATATAAAGTAGAAACACTGCCACACAAGGTAAAAACTATTTGGTGGCAATCTGATAAACTTTAGGAAAATTGTGGAGGTGTCTAGTAGCAAGCAAATATTTGCTTTACCATTCGATAGGTTTAAATGGTGTTGTAATTTACCATGACAGCACGTAAGTTGAAAGTGTCAAACAGGACATCAATTTGAAACCCCGACAGCTAAGCAAGCAAATTAGACTGCATTGAGATAAGGCAACACAATATGTTAAGGCTTTTAAACATGCTGCTCGACACTCAATAGACAGTTCTTGCAACCAACTGTTATTGACATGATGACCAACAAATGGCTGTTATCCTTTGCAACTTTAGCAACAAATTTTCAAGTCACAATATACAGAGCACCATTTATAATATAATATTTACAAAGAGCTTCATTTCTATCCTCCCCTGACTTAATGAATAATGCACACAGTAAGCTTATTCAGTTAGCCACAGCTACTGTTAAGTTTGAGAACAATGCAGTACTGACTCCATGTAAAATATCACGAGCAAGGAGTGCGAGGCTTGGCGCAACATTACCTTGTCACAATAGCGTTCATGAGGGGTTCTACTAAATGGGTGCTTTGCACAAGCAGACCTCGCATGTGGGTAATCTCTGCACGCAATCTGCAATACCACATTAGAAAGATTGAAATTAAAGATTCACGGCTCGCCCTTTGAACACCACATCAGAAAGATCCCACATTTCAGATTGACGGTTAGGCATTTCATCCGCGCCCTCACAGGAGCCGAAAAAACAAAGCCCATCCTCTGGAGTCTTGTCGCAATCGCAAGCGTACCTTTCCTCGCTCTGCAACGACCGCGATTTCGTCATTGGCGGCGGCGGGGGAGGGGGCCACCTCGGTGGTGGAGGAGAAGGGGTCTCCGGCGAGGATCTGGCAGTCCTCGTCGTGGCGCTGCTTCTGCCGCGGGGTCCGCATCTCGATCTCGTCGTCGAGGTCGAGCGTCCGCGGCGCGGGCCTCTTCCGCGCCTTCTTCGTCGAGTGGCTGCCGCCCGTGGAGCGGTCAGGCGACGAGGGGATTTCGATCACAATCAGTGGCGACGCCGCCGCGGGGCTCTTCCCGGCCGCAATCGCCGCCCCCGGGGACGCCGACTTCTTGGCCTTGGCGGCTGTAGCCCCCGGGTCCAAGGGTGCGGGCGCCGTAAATGGAGTCGACCGCTTGACCTTGGCCATTGGGAGGGAGGGCTCGGAGCCTCGGACCGAAACCCTAGACGGCGGGGGAATGTTGCAATCGATCGGGTTGGGAAACGTTGGGTTCTGCTTCGGCGGGTGAGGGAAGACGAGGAAAAGGGAGGGTTTTTGAGTCGGAGGATTGTACTGCCATTAAAAAAAAGCTTACAATTACACATAAATTATTAAAAAAAGTTAAGCTTCCACGAGTGCTATTGTTCTGAACTTCTTTACTCTTTAAGCCATTCCGTCTGTGTTCTGTTGGTTTTTTACCGTTTGACAGCCCTTACATATGGGACCGGTCAGTGTAAACATTCAAAATACCCTTCTCTTGTCTTATCCTCTTACTTCTTTCTCTTTCTGTCTAGTGGTGCCAAACTGTCAGCGAGCCGGATCCACCTTCCTCCTCGCCGCGCGCCAGCCTCACGCCGCGTCGATGCCGGGGTGGAGCTTGCTCGCCCGCGCTCGCGCTCGCGGCGGCCGAGCGGAGCTCCTCCCTCGGCTTCCGCTGGAAGGACGCTGCCGAGAGGGGCACGAACTGGAGGTTCTTGAGCTGTTTGTGCCGCTGCTGCTGCTCCCCTTTGCTCATCCTGTCCATCACCGCCTTCACCACCACCTCCGCGGTGGCGGCGCTCTCACCGACAACCACCACACACCGCTTGGTCCCGCTCGCCATGCAATCGAGCACGCGCATGGCGTCGTCGTTGGACTTGTTGGGGCGCCTACTGCTTGGGTGACCGGAACCTGGTGCAGGAGAGCTCGTCGCGTAGCCGCTGGATGGTATCGTCGTGTTCGGTTGATGCTCCGGTGACGACGACAACGAGACGGCCTTCTCGACGTTGACCTTGACCTAGGAGCTGGAGAAGCCAGCCTCGCTCATGACGCGGCTGACGCTGGGGTCATCGAGGACGGAGATGATGAGCTGCTCGATGTCGACCTTAGCGGCGAGCACCGGCTGCGGCGGTTGTCCCTGTGACTGCCCTCCTTCCATGGCGCCACAGCGCTGGTGTGCCTGTGCGCGCTTGAACGCAACAACGAGCGCGTTGGACAGCACGGGCGTGTGCTGCTTCCCATGTGAAAGCATCTAGGCCCCTAGTTGGGTTTCGGTGATTAATGACAATACGTGATTACTGTGACTAACGTGTGTTTTGCAGAGACAATTGAGTTAGGTCACGGTAGTGGAGATCGATTGGGCAATCATGGTGTTCATGCCCCTACGATGGAAATCATTTCGGTTTTCAAAGGATGGACGACAAGGTTAAGGATGACTAGTTCTAAGTGTCGATTGGAGTTAGAGAGACACTTAGAGTAGTTTAGGACTTTGTTTTTCCTTTGGCCGTACTATT